TGACATGCTAGAAGTCTAAGACACCAAAAAGTAAAAGCCTAGATGCGAAGACACAAACGAAATGGAAGCCCAGACAAAGGATGGATGAATTGGTCTTGTATCGTGATTACGGATATGCTCAAATTGATAGATATCACTTCAAAGATGTAAAGCTCTTCACTAGCTTTCCAAAAAAGTCCAAAAACATCAGAATCGGAGTTCGAATCTAAACGTTATGCCCAAAATATGGAAGTCTTTGGGCTGAAAACAGGACATCAGAATTTCCATTGAGGTGGTCGGAATTTTCGATAACCAACGGTAGACTGATCAACGATCAAATTTTAAAGGGAAAACGGTGTTTTTGCCCCTGTATAGAAGTTCAATTGTGATTGTACCCCTATTTTTTCAACTTTGTGATTTTATCATTCATTAGTTTGAAACGAAGGAGCAGTTTGCCCCTGGTTTAGATGTCTGTCACTTAGAGGCTGATTAAACGACTTTAAAAAAATAAAACACATTAAATCATATGCCAGATGACCGAAATGCCCAATTCACGCTATCCGGTTATCCCATCCTCACCGAGAAAATTGGAAATTTGCCCTCATGGCAGGTGGGCTTCGCCCAAATGCCATCAAGTTTGTGGGCTTCGCTGAAATGCCCTTATGAAACGAGTCCAACACGTTATAATGCTATTTTAAGATTTAAGTCCACTTTTAATATTTTTCACCCAAAATTTTAGCCTGAACTGACCATTTTGCCCCTGAGCTCATTGACTCCTGCCCTCTCATCTCGCTCCCTCTTGTTCTCTCGCTCGCGGAAAAGGCAGAGCGCCATCGACCCACGGTGGATGGCGGATGGTGGCGAGGCTTCCTCCACGCCACCCACGGCCCCGCCGCTACCGTCGCCGCTGCTCCCGTAGCCTCCCCATCCTCTCTCCCTCTCCCTCTCTCTCCCGAGGTGGCGGCGCTGCGGCAGGCCCCGAACGCGGCGGCCTCCCTACGCTACGTGTGGTCGTGGACCCCGGCGGTGGGCGAGACCGGCTCGGCGTGGCGCACCGCTGTCGCACCGCCTCTCTCTCTTCCTCCTCTCCCGGTGTGCAGGCGCACCATACGGGCCCACCGCGGCGGCGGTGGCGTAGCGCGGGTGGCCCCCCTCCCCTCTCCCTCTCCCTCCGTCTTGATCTACCATCGGGTCGTGGTGCGACCGGCACAGGGCAAGGCAGAGGCATGGCCTTGCAGGATAGTCGTCCTCATCTTTCCCCCTCTCCCTCTCTCCTGTTGTGGCCGCTCATGGTGCTCGTGCCCGGTGCCGGTGGGTCTCGGCGGTGTCGCGGTTGGCACAGAGCAGTCTCAGGTGCTCCCGTTTCCTCTTGTATTTTGGGATTTTGCTTTTGCCTCTCTGATTCGTCCCTTCGATGACTTCGATTCGTGTTGTAGGGTTTGGCCTAGAATGCCTGTTGTTCCAATGTTTGCCTTCTCTGTGTTTATCTATGAAAGGACAACACCAATTGGCAATGACACTACTTATCTCAAAGATGAAAAAGTCTCCATTGATGAGATCAAATTAACACCTCTAGAGCTTTCTGAATTGATAGCATCCATTAAGAATGGAACTATAAGTGCAAAGATCGGCAAGGAGGAAAGATGAGGACGACTGTCCTGCAAGGCCATGCCTCTGCCCTGCCCTGCATCGGCCGCGGTGAGGCACTCTGCCTTTCCCGTGAGCGAGAGAACGAGAGGGGGAGAGATGAGAGGGTAGGGGTCAATGAGCTCAGGGGCAAAATGGTCAGTTCAGGCTAAAATTTTGGGTGAAAAATATTAAAAGTGGACTTAAATCTTAAAATGGCATTATAACAGTTGGACTCGTTTCATAAGGGCATTTCAGCGAAGCCCACAAACTTGATGGCATTTAGGCGAAGCCCACCTGCCATGAGGGCAAATTTCCAATTTTCTCATCCTCACCGTGTCCACCCCGACCCGTGGCCTTTTGGCTTTCTCGCTTTCTCCCGAAAGCCAAACCCTAGGACAGGGCGCGCGACATCGGCGGCGGGGGCGGCTGGCGTGGCTGGGCGGGCGCTACGGATGGGCGAGCTCGAGGCGCGGTGGGCGCCGCAGCATCGGCGGCAGGCGTGGCTGGGCGCTGCGGATGGATGAGCTCGTGGTACGGTGGGCGCCACGGCATCGGCGACGGGCGTGGCTAGGCGCTACGGATGGACGAGCTCACGACGCGGTAGGTGCAGCTGGGCGGGTGCCGCGGCATCGCCGGAGGGTGCGACTGGCTAGGCGCCGCCGCCGAGCGGGCTCGCTGCGCGGTGGGGGCGCAGCTGGGCGAACACCGCGGCAGCGGGGGTGCAGCTAGGCGTGGCGGGCGGGCGGTTGGTCGGGCGCCGTAGTCTTGTGTGAAGCTGGAATAGCGAGCAGGAGCCTCCCATCTCCGGCAAGATGCAGCTGCGGCGGGTGAGATCCGAGGAGGAGGCTCTTTCCTGCAAGACATGAACGGTCGTGAGCGTCGCAAGGGATGGTAGCAATTGTCGCTGGAGCTGCGTCACACCACCTTGCTACGCTGATGCATGCATCAATCGAGTAGCAAGAACAGGGGAGGCTATGACAATGTGGGCAAGGTGTTCGTCTGAACGGCATTGGCAAGTAGCGTAGGATGCAGGTAAGGTGTTCGCCGGAATGCAACAATGGACTTGAAAACTTTTGTATCGACCTTGACTTGCTTATTTTGTTTGTCATTTTGCTCCTAATTAACTTCTTTGGTATAATAGTCGGGACTACTATAGACACTCACCATGTGAATAGTGATTTTTTCCCAATATTAAATCTAAATTGACCAAATATAATAATCATTTTTCAAAATACAACATATGTGTCTTATTCAAAATTAGGGGTAAAATCACAAATAACCCTAAAAATCAGGGGCAAAATCACAAGGACATTTTTGTCCTTTTTGTACAAAATCTAACACCATTAGGGGAGGATGACGGAATAGGGATAAAGTGGTGCTTCGTTTTGAAATCACAGGGATAAATTCACAAAGTAAAAAAAAACAGGGGCAAAATCATAATTTTGATACAAAACAGGGGTAAAAATGCAAGAGTCCCAATTTTACATGGCTAGTTCATGTGGCAGTCCTAGAATTTCTGACAAGGGGTCATAATTTCCAGTATCAGTGCAGAATGAGTTGCACATTGCTCAACAGCTACTTTCAAGGTTGGAGGCTATATATACCCCTTGGCCGGCCACTTGAAGGTGCGAGGAGTCAAGGAACATACCAAGGGAGTTGTTGCTCCTCTCTAGTTCTCTTCCCACCATATGAGCTTAAAGAATCATTAGGTGATTAGTATAGGTACTTTGCGAAGTGCATAGGCTAGTTAGACATCACTCATGCGCTTGCTCTAGGTTTAGGCCTAGTGTTTAGTAAGGTTTGCACACTTCTTACCACTTAGTGATTGTGCGCATCATTATTGTACTCGGAGAGGCTTCTAGTCTTACGAGACCGCACCAACTGCATTTGTGGTATGGCCGCCACCGGTGTATTGGAGGGAACGAGGCCCGCAGCATTTTGGCTAGAAACTCAATAGTGAAAACGGCGAGGAGCAGTCTGAGAGAGGCCATCTCAGAGAAGCATTTGCACATGGGGAAGGACCGGGGGGCTGCCTACAGAGTTACCCCACTGGGATCTTGGCCCTTACGAAGGCATCCTTGCGGGGGGGGGGGCTTCAACGAGGACTAACGTTTTTTTTCAAAGTGTTGTTTAACCTTTTGATAATTGACACTTAGCAAAAGGTTATTCCACTAGTTGTTTCAATTATCAAAACCAAACATAGGGCATTCAGTCTACGCCCCCTTCCTCCTTACCTATCACGTGTCGCTGTCTCTAGAACGATATGACGCGACAGTATTTGTTGATGAGGTTGCCTCCTTTGATGCCCTCATCCTAGACTACAAGGTCGACACACACTTCCACGGCTCAAATATGGATGGCGAGAGTGGCCACATCGTCACATCCATTGCCAAGTTCCATGGTGGCAACATCCTCACCTGCGCCACAACATAATGCATAGATTCAGAATTCGTCGTTGCTTTGACCTTACCTATCACCTCTGACACTCTATCATCCTAACCTTCCTTGTTGAATCGTCATTGACACAATTCGAGGAGGATAACAGATCCAAAAGGGGTGATGGTGTTCCTTTTTCGACAACGACGAGGAGATTGAATCTAGTGACGATGCAAGAGCTCCTTTACATGGATCCACATGCTTCATAATAGATCTGCATGCATCCAGCATCCTTCAGTCTATTCGTTTGCTCGTGTCTAGCTTATAAGCCATGACTTATCAGCCAACGAATAGTATTTTTCTCTCACACCAAACCAGCCAACAGTACTTTCAGCCATGACTTATAAGCCAAACCAGCCCAAACGAACAGGGCGCTTATCGGTGGCAAACAATCAGCCTATTCAGTTGGCTGGTTCATATCGTTGCTGGTTGATGAAGAAGTACTGCTGACTACTTTGTGTGAGAGAAAACTATTGTTCTAACTGAAAATTTACGATCGTTTACGATAGACCACAGCCAAAAGAACAGGCTGATTGTCAATGTGTGCCTTGCACGATGATCCTGGGATGGGGTTGTTTCAGTGGCACCGATATCCTGGCATCGATGGACAGCCATGCTGACGTATTCCGCCCACGGTCCAGCTGCCTCTTTAACATGTTCTCGATTGAGGGCCTATTTGGCCGGATGTGCCGGAGATAGTTATTAGTTAGGCTAAAAATTACCACTGCTGCTAGTGCCTGCTAGTATACTCTACCGGTAGTACCAGCAGCTTCCTCTACTAATAAATGACACGCTTGTTCTAGCTAGCCACGCCTGACGCCTCCCTGCCTCGCCTCGCCTGCATATATAACGCGGCACACTAGCGAGTGGTGTGGCAAAGGATTGGGCTCGGTGGCGGCGAAGGCTATATGAGCGGTCTCATCACGAGGATCGGCACCGTCGTCGCCCGCTCACCCATGGCGGCCGCGGCAGTCGCTGGCATCGGCAGCAACGACGCGCCACTGAAGCGGCCGCGTCGCCCCAGCAGCAGCGTCAGAATGGAGGGCAGCACGAGCAGAGGAGGCGGAGGAGGAGGAGGCGACGGTGGCGGCTGCTGCTGCTCGAGCAGCGGCAAGGGGCTTGCGCCCGCGGAGCCGGCGACGACGACGAGGCTGGTGGTGATCGTCGGCGCCACGGGCACGGGCAAGACCAAGCTGTCCATCGACGCGGCCGTGGCGCTGGGCGGCGAGGTCGTGAACGCCGACAAGATACAGCTCTACGCGGGCCTCGACGTCACCACCAACAAGGTGCCGCACGCCGACCGCCGCGGCGTCCCGCACCACCTCCTGGGCGCGGTCCGCGCCAACGCGGGCGAGCTCCCCGCGCCGTCGTACCGCGCGCTCGCCGCCGAGGCCGCGGCCTCCGTCGCGGCGCGTGGCCGGGTGCCCGTCGTGGCCGGGGGCTCCAACTCGCTCATCCACGCGCTCCTCGCCGACGACGACCGCCTCGGCGACGGCGGCGAAGACCCGTTCAAGGCCGACGACGGGTACTACCGGCCGTCGCTGAGGTTCCCGTGCTGCCTCCTCTGGGTGGACGTGGACGGCGCGGTGTTGGACGACTACCTGGACCGGCGCGTGGACGACATGGTGCGCGAGGGCATGGTGGAGGAGCTCCGGGAGTACTTCGCGTCCACGTCCCCCGCGGAGCGCGCCTCCCACGCGGCCGGGCTGGGCAAGGCCATCGGCGTGCCGGAGCTGGGCGACCACTTCGCGGGCCGCAAGAACCTCGCCGCCGCGATCAACGAGATCAAGGCCAACACGCGGGTGCTGGCCGCGGCGCAGGTGCGCAAGATCCAGCGCATGGCCGACGCCTGGGGCTGGCCCGTGCAGCGCCTGGACGCGACGCCCACGGTCCGCGCGCGGCTGGCCGGCGCCGGGCGCTCCGCCGAGGCCGCCGCGTGGGAGCGCGACGTGTTCGGGCCTGGCCTCGCCGCCATGCGCCAGTTCCTCGACAGCCACGAGCAGCAGCAGCAGCAGCAGCAGCAGCAAAGGTGGCCGCTGGCGCGGAGGCGATGCCGTGGCATGGTGGGGTGAGTCGTGATGACGCGTCAACTGTCCGGAAGCCCGAGCGTCCGGGTTCTTCATTTTTTGGGGGGATACGCATAGGCCGCCGAATTTTGGAGGGTCCCGGAGACCACACCGGACACCGGTCGGTGGGGCCGTAGCTGGCGATGCCGCACAGCAAGCCGCAGCGACAGACAGCGTGCAACAGAAACAGGGCGAGACGACCGGCAAGCAACCGCCAGTTTTTGCCGGTCTTGTGAGTACTGAGGCGTCTCTGTTTCCGTCTCGGCTCCATGGCTTGACAAGCGAGAAGACAGCACGGCACACAGCCGCAGCAGCGTAATCTAGCCTGCAAGTGCCACCGCCCCTCTTGTTTAGAGATTTTGAAAAACTGTTTGCAGTCCAGCTTGTGCGTGCGGATTAGAGCGCAAACCCATGCTTAATGCGTGATTAGGGGGGGCAGGGGATTGTGCTGGACGCGTGAGCTGGTGTTGTGGTTGTGCTGTGCCAGCTTGGAAGTCAGTTGGGCTTCCAGACGTGTGTGCCCTTCTCGCTAAACAAACAAGAAATGCATTCGTTTCTTTTGTTCTGCTAGCCAGTCTCCTCGCTATATCTTGTTTGTTCAGCTCGTCTCGTCGGTGATTCGTGCCACTCCACTACCATAGTGCTATCATAGAATAAGAACCGAGTTAGTAGATCACAAAATTGCGTTGCACCAGTCAAATGTGGCACACATAATTACATACGGCATTTCTGGCATTTGGCTGCCGGCCGGCCAGAAGTTGTTAGAAATTGTACTGGTATATGGTTCCTCTCCTCAGTTTGTCCTTCAATTCCCACTTGCACAAAACCTTGTCCCGCTGGCTCGTCATTCATCGCTGCCACCAAATCCAATGTCCCCTCGAAGGCTTAGCCGCCAATGCTCGCTCTCTTTTTTGGCTGATTTATTATAAAAAAAATATTGTTCGTTGGTTAAAGAAGTACGACCTTTAAACCTAACTAAGGCCCTGTTTGGTTTCAAATAAGTCACCTACTTATAAGTTAAAAAGTGAAAAAAGTGACTTATTTTGCCAAACACCACCAACTTATAAGTCACCCCTGCTTATAAGTTTTAAGTTGGTTCACCCCTGCTTAAAACTTATAAGTCACCCTTTTTCGCGTGGGGCCCACACCTTTAATGAGCTTATAAGTCATCTACAACCAAACAGGCATGACTTATAAGTCACTGATTTTCAGTCACCTGACTTAATAAGTCACCTGACTTATGGAAACCAAACAGGGCCTAACAGGACGAAAACTCATCAAACTGTTACGTCTCCCTGCTGACTCCTGACATAGATGTAGTGACGTGATCGCGCTCGATCATGTTATATTCTTTTCGACTGTTCGCGGTAGATTTCTGCCATTCCGGCTGTGAGAGTACACTTGGCGCAGCACTGTTGCTAGTACTGCCTACGGAGCAACCGCAGCTGCAGCGAACACTGCCTTTTCTCGGTCGTCTAAAAGTTGGAAAATTACAGTTGGCGTTGTGGTTAAAATGTGGCGACAGAGAAATTAGCTGTGGGATTGACATTTTCATGGATGGCGTCTCTGCTTTGCTTAGGATTAAATGAGCGGATGTGAAAATACATTCTTATTCTAGTCCAGTGGATATGTTTAAACTGAATTTCACCGCACAAAGATCTCAATATCTACCTATACATGTAACCAAATGCGACACCTCTCGGGGATTCATGGAGGATAGGCAATGTTGGAAGGGGAGGCGAGTACAAACAAAGCATGTTATGGTAAGCATGATGGGCAATGGCAAACGTGGATTTGAGGATGGGCACGGTGAGGGTAAGGGCCTATTTGCCTACCATAGACTAAACTTATTCACCAAAATATTAGGCCTAGTTATTGAAAGAAATCCTTGTTCGGTTACGTTGATGCTGATATTGGCGACACATGTGGGTGTCGCATACCTCGCTAGAGGCATTGTCGTGTGCTCTCTTTCCCGTTCCTGCCTCTACCTAGGGGTTCTTTTCTTGGCTGCTGATGTCGTTTCCTCTATGAAGGCATCGCTTAGTGAACCCCTTGGTGGTTGTTACTACAGTGCTAGGGTGGTTTTTGGTTTCACGGGCAACTTTGATTGTGGTGGTCTATCGTGTCGTTGTTAACGCCCTATGCTGGTTAGTTTAACCTACTAGCTTCTCCTCAAACTAGAAATGCTTTTTTTTAGTTTTCGACACAACTAGCCATTAGTTCATTAGTTGGCAAATGTAGACTAATATCAACTAAAAAGTTGTACATGAGTCATTGTCTAACAAAGTCTTTTTTTTTTTTTGCTTCTTTTTTGCATCTTAATTCACTTTAGTTCTTAGCAATCCAAACAGGTCTAAGGATAGACACACAGAACTGACCGGAGGTTGAAAGGATCGGCAGCGTCGATGTCAATCAGATGGCTCCCACACCTGGACAACAAAATGACGTGGTTTTTATACATCCTATTGTTTTCTGTTTGCATCACCATGGGTTAATCAGTTAATCCATTTTGTGGCTGCGTCAATGAGTAGTAGGCGATTTGTGAGCTGGAGTTGCTTCTTCGGTCATGCATGTGCACTTGCCTGATGATGTCGCTGCGGCCTGCGCTTGATTTGGATGTGTCACCATATTCGTCCAGAATTATTCCCTGGAGCTGAGCTGAGCAACCATTCAGCCAAGCTGTGCCTCTCATGTTTACTAATGCAACAACAACTAACACTGTGTGTGTAACTTATAAAATATGGCCAGGATAGGATGCCGTTTCAGATGCCTACTGAGCTACCCTGCTCCTGTCCTCGGCGGCGTGCAGACACGCCGACCAGCCAGCATTATTGTTTCTTCATTGCTCGCTTTGCATTGCTCGCTTACCCTCCTGGCCTGGCCAGTCCAGCCTCCTCATCCCGTCATCAGGACTCTGAAAGAGGCCGCAACTCTAGTGACTAGTAGTGCTATGCTCCAGTGGCCTCTACCAGACTGTCCAAATGGCGATTGGGGTTAGGAATCAGTATTTAACACTGTAGCACTTTCGTTTGTATTTGATAATTATTGTCCAATCATAGCCTAACTAGACTCAAAAGATTCGTCTCGTAATTTACAATCAATCTGTATAATTAGTTATTTTTTTATCTACATTTAATACTTCTTACATGTGTCTAAAGATTTGATGTGACGGGGAGAGAGAGTGAAAACAAGGCCTGAGAATGCAATGCAAGAGCCAAGAGAAGTACTCCTACGCAGCAACCCTACGCTGCGAGCGAACGCACGCACGGTTGACCGGACGTTGGCGAACTGGGAGGCCACACGCAAAAGGATGCAGGGCGTGCAGTACAGAGAGAGGAACCCGAAAGGCGCCCGCGTGAACAATGATGGGCAGCCGCATTGTTTATCCCCCACATGCCGCCGGCGCGCGTGCAGGCAGGCGCAGCAGCCGTTGCATCCCGGGCGGGGAGGCTGTGGCGGGCACGAATGCTGAGGAGAGGAGCCGCACGCACCCTGCCTTGGTAGTTGTTGCGGTTGCTGGTCTCTAGGTCCTCTCCGTCCCTCGCGGCCGCGGCAACAAACAAAGGTCATCATCATTCGAGGGGCCCCGGAAGGCTGCCTCCCTCGCTTGTTTTTGGCGCTCGAGGGAGGCTTCTCCAGCTGCGCGTGTCCGTCCGTGCATGTACTAGGCCGGAGGCAGCGACGGCAGCGTAACAATATACTACAGCCGCTAATCGTCCTACGCCTAGCTACTTGTTCAGCTAATGCTCTCTCTGGACGCAACCAGCATGACCCCTAGCTACCCCCTGTCTAATTGTCCCTCATCACACCCTCACTAACGAACCACTTGCCAAAAGCCCGGCTCCTTCTCGTCCCCATACGAGGGCACCCACAATGGTATAAGTCCGCTCTAAGTCAATCTCTTCAATAATGTTAGCTTTTAGCAATGATTTATAGTATAATTAGACCCACGTAGCTCTCTCACATGATCTTAAAACGTGTGTATAAGCCTAGCTTTTGATCAAAAGTTAGCTTTTCTCTCGCTTCTGTTAAAATATAAAAAAAATATTTAGAGCTAGCCTTATGAGTTGCCATTGCGGTGCCCTGAATTAGAATCCCCGTCGCTCTGGCTAGATTCGAACTCAATTGGCACTGTCTGTCTCCACACCTGCATTATGTTTATGCAGGGTCCAAGTCAAAACGAATAAACACCGCTGTTCCTTCCTAACATCTTTGGATCCTTCTTTCTGGTCGCCATTTCACGAGTTCATTTCATCCTGGATTTAGCACGTATAAACAATCCATTTCGTCCACTCCAAGTGGCAACCAAATATTTAGCGCCGAAATGCCGCCCCGCCTCGGCGCATGATCTCTGATTCTCCCCTCCGCTGCGGCCGCGCTAGATTTAATCCCACTTGAGCTCTGCAGGGGGTCAGGGGCTGATCGTGGTGGTGCATGCATGGAGCGGACCTAGACGAGCAGCTGATGAGTTTTAAATTTGGCGCCTGCTCACCTGGTATGTTAGCCCTGCTCCTCCTCGCCTTGCTCCTTGCTTGCTCCCCCTGCACCCCGTCACGGCCGGACAGGAATTCAGCTTTGCTCCCCGTGTGTTGCGTACGCATTGAGACACAGCAGATGCGATTAACTACTCCACTAGCTAGCATACTTAGTACCTAGATGCTTCTCCTCCCTCCGAAGATCAATGATGTGCTAGTGCTGCCTTTTCAGTATTGGTATTGGTATTGGTATTGGTATTGGCAGGCAGTAAAGAACTTGGATCCAGCCTGGTCTTTTGTAAGAGTATGTTCATTCATTGTATCTAAATATATAGTAGTACTGGGAGGCAAGCAGTACGTTTCGGAACTGAACTTCGAAGAATGCGTTGTAGTAGTAGATTATAGAGCAATAAGAATATATCTTGTTGTTCCTTTCTTGCCCTACAGAAACTGACCAAAAAATAATGTAGTATACTATTCTATATCGTGGGTTTTGCAGTATGCAATTTGCAATGTTGACTAAAGGAAGAGAATACTAGTAGTACTAAAAATGCCTACACGTACTGCATGTGTTATACTTACTTAGATCAGCTTAGATTCTTTTCGCCTGTTCTTCGTTTTCTGTCCACCAAGATAATGTTTCTTTTCTGACTGAAACAGTTTAGATCGAGCTAGCTACTTTAGGGTAATTAAGGGAAGCTTGCAGTTGACACTCACCTCACACTCTCCCGTCACGATCGACGATCGACGAGGAACTGAAATCTTATAGTATTATGTTAAGTCCATGTGTTGTGAACTCTGACCAACGTACTCAATCTTGTCAAGTTCTCCATAAAGGCAGTAAAGTGAGTCTCTCTATTTCTTGAGAATCTTCCATTCCATCCAAATGACGGTAGCACGGTTGGTGCCCAATCTAGTCACCACCGTCCACCGATACCTTAATCTGACCGACCACCCATACCAGTCCATGACGGCAGTACTCAGCAAAGCGCGTCGGTCGTCACCGGAGAGGGCGACACGCAGAGACCATCGGTGCACCGCGCTAGCTAACCGTCGTCGTCCCTGGTGATGCCGATCGATCGGGAGGTCGTTGCCGGTGGCAATGTCCAATGAGCATTGCTATGTTTCTCCGGTCTCACATTGCTGCAAGCTAACTAGCCACACCGACAGTTACCTGTTTTTTGAAAGCAACCGACAGTTACATGTGATAGATTCAGATCTATCCATACTGGGCTGCCGACCATGATCACGTCCACATCCATCCATCGCCATATTCTTACCTTGCAAGGCCAGTAAATAGACCGCGAGCCGCAGTTAACCACGACGTCGCGCGATCGAGCCCGGGTTTCAGAACGATGCGACGCGAGGAGCGTGGCATGGTGCGTGGTGGCCGGGTGGCCAGCGGACTTGCATTGGAGCCACGACCGCGACCGGCCGGGCGGCGAGAGCACGCGCGCGGCTGGCCGGTGCGAGCGGCGACGGCGAGCGGCGATGGGCGCGAGAGAGAGGGTGACGCGGTTTTTCCTTCGCGGTCGCTATCTCTATCTACTCTCGATCCTAGGGAAACTGATCGGCCATTGCCTTTTCTTTTCCTCCTTGATGTTTATGGTGGATGTGAAAAGCAAGCGGGTACTGTGGGTCACAAGTGATTAGCCCGCGTCATGGGAGCAAGTTTGCTGCCGATATATTGCTTGCAAGCATGCATGCATACACCTCCTCCATGTCTGAGTAACTCCATCCTTGTCGGGATATTTGCCCATGCATCATATTTGCGTGGTCAGTAATTCATGTTATTATTTGCTACTACACGCTCCCGAAATCAGAAAGAAATTATAGTGCTAACGACCTTGCGAGTATGTATATGCCCACGTACACTTTCGGTGCTACTATACTCTTGCTAAACAGTGAAAATGACACACTTTCGGCCCTCACATCCAACTGGCCATGATATGCGCTCTTTCCGTCCTCAGTTCTGTAAACCTCATCACAGGTCAGGAAAACCGAGGTCGGCTGAGGATATAAGCAAAACCGACTCTCTTCAGTCTTCCAAATTCCGATCCTCGCTGACGGGGACGGCTCCTGATGGGCCCGCACGAAGCCGCTCGACGTGACGATTGCAGGTCCCCGCATGACGGCGAGCCAAAAGCTAGCTAGCTAGCACAAGAGAACGCCGAGAGAGGTAGCGGAGTAGCAGTAGCGGTGCACGCGCATTACGCTTCCGTGCCAAGAGGTCGTCTACAAATGCGGGCGTTTCGCTGTCGGGCGTCGGGGCTTTTTCTCTCGGTTCTTCTCAGCTCTGTCAGCTGCCGTACGTCGGCGGGCGCCCCGGTCGTGTGCCGACCTCCGGCTCGCGCCTGGGGTGAGGCTGCACGCGGGAAAACGCGCAGGGATGATGGATCGCCATCGACTTTTGGTTGGTGTTGTGCGGCAACCGCGCCCGAGGTCGGACTACTTGGGTCTGTCACTACTGACCGCGAGGCAGGGCGATCTACATGCGTCTGTGGTGTGTATTCACGCTTGTTTGTCGAGATATTGGAGTAATTGATTTTTCTTCTTCTCTTTTTCATATTGAACGGTGTTGTGTCCAGTGTCGTGCTTATTCTGACCGTGCCTGTCCCAATTAAATTACCTCACTGTCCAAATTAGAACTGATTTTAAATGCAGTTTTCATCATTTTCAAATGTTATTAAATACATAAAGACTTGATAAGGATTTTAAATCAATCTCTAATAAGCTTCCAAAAATCACGAGGGGAATCCTAGAGATAGAATTGGGAAACAAAAGAACCCAAATAAAATATTTAAAGATCGTGAAAATATATCTAGAAGCTTCTAGAAATTAGATTTAGCTCTAGAAAACTAGAAAGATTTAGAAAAATCTGGACCTTCTAATCAATGTTTAAATGCGTTTCAAAACACTTTCTAAAAAAACACAAGATGCAACCATCATGAATGCATTCATCATTAATGTATGTTGCATCATATTAATTGCATCTCATATTTTAATTGTGGAAAAAATTTAAAACACATCTAGAAATTGGTTATAATGTTTTGCGATTTTAAAAATATTTTTCTTGATTTTTTTTTGCATTTTATAGAGCTAAATCTCATTTATGAAAGCTTTTAATTTTCACTAGCTATAAATATTTTATTTTGGTTTCTTGTAATGTATCCCCTGGTTTTTCTCAGAATTTCAAAAGGTTAAAGATATTATCACTTCTAGAGTTGAGTAAGAAAACTTAGACTCCAAGCATCTCTAATAGTCTTTCTAAAATTTACTCTACAAATCATCATTTAGAGAGTTTTTTGAGTAAAAATCGCTTTTAATAGTTTTTTATATCTTGTGCGTATTCTAGAAAGTCATCCTCGCCCTCCTTCTTTGACTAGCCAAAAATCCAGAATAGAAAATGTATATATCTAGATATCTAATTAAAGAGTATGTTGAAGATAATTTTTTTAATAAAATCTCTATTAATTTTTTTGAGCAAAAATAAAATCTCTATTAATAAAATATAAAAAGACTCGTAGAGTTGCTTTCGCGAGGAGGCAAAACCGGCTTTCCGTCCCGTGAACCCGCTCCACATGCTATATGGGCTAGCGAAGCCCCTGGCCTGAATACGTGCGTTACATCGGCCCGTACGAGGAATGCTCTCTGGACTGTGATTTGGTGAAACCGGGCATCTGACCGACCCATCCAGAATGCCACCAGTCTAGAAATAGATACACATGTCATTTCGGCCCAGTCATTGATGTACTCTGTCATGACTCCTTTACAACCAGCAGATCAAATGGTTTAAAGTCCTATTTGGCAAAGCTTCAAACAGTTTTAGCTTATTGCTACAGTGTAGCAAGAAGCGTAAAACAGAAAAAAGGCTAGTTTCACTTACTTGCTTCTAGTTCATTTGAAGGAGAGAAGAAAGAGCTCATGTGAATATGATCGGTGCAGGTGAACCCAAAGCTATTTAAGCCCTGATTAAACGGATGACCTCTTTTTTCTGTGGCGTTGAGCTAGCACAGGGACTGACATGAACGGCGATGAAGGCCTGCAGCATGCAGGAGACTCGCTGATTGCATTCATGGACAGGTCAAAGATAAAGTCAGCATGTTAATCATATCATGGGCGGGTTACATACTTACATGTTTCCGTGTTTGAAAAAAAAAATCAATGCACTTCGGTCAGAGTCACAGCTTGAACCATCTGCCTCGCAAACCGAGAAAAGCAAAATTTCGCAACTACCGAATCAGGGAGACAGGATGCTGCGACAATTGCAATATACTGGGAGTTGTTGACATGTACAGAATGCAGGTGGCCAACAAGAATGGAGGATCACAAAGACACATTGGCAGGTCAAAAACATCCGTGCTTTCTGTCTGGTTCAAAACCTTCACAAAGAATCGAACCACTGATTTTGAGGTGTGCAACTGCGGCCATTCACCATGTCGTAGCTGGGGTACAAGAATAGGAAAAAGGGGGTTAAAGTCTGTTAGTTGAGGGACTATATAAACATGTCAGGGAGATATAAAGACCTTTAATATCCTACCACAATCGATACCACGTTACTACTCAAACCGTAACAGACCCACTCTTGAAACATGTTATCTAATATTAACTTTACCGCAATCTCAACCTTAACAGTAAGTAATTCAAAATTCATAATTCATAATCAAGTAAACACACAATTTTTTCAATGCATCTCACTCACCCAGGTCATATATTCTTCAGCTTGGAAGTTCTGAAATCGGCAATTGATTGTGGAACACCCCATTCGATAGTTCATGGGTCTCTAAAGGGCTTTTCTTTGAGCGATCCAAGGAGGTTGCTTCAAAAATACCTACAAAAGGATAACAATGCTCATTTTGGATATGAAATGTTCAGGACATGGAGAAAAGGTTTTCCAACTGTCCTATCAGTACAGCTGAGAGAATAATTTTAGAATCCAATCATGGATACAAAGAATAAGACCTCAAAACTCACCGAATCCCAAAATAACAGAACAGACCAGAAATCCTAAAAGGGAGAAATCCATTTGGTACACTATCTCCAACACGATGATGCAACCTGTTGAAACCATTAAGTGCCTTGGAGAAGAGAAGACCAGATGCAACCTGCCAACCAAGTAAACGAATTACAAACATGGACCGAAGGTTGATCATGATTCATGAAGCACAATGGGCAGTTAACTAAAGGGAGGCCATTCATGTCTTATGAGTTATGATTAATAGGATAAAGGTCAATAAAAATACTTCAAGAAGCATCCAAGAAAAGAAAAGTGATGTTTCATATTGTTATACATGAAGATATTTGAGGAATAATAACTTCAAACCTATAATCTCCTGAAGATCTGGCTCGGACTGGTAAAAAAACTCGACTGGGGGTAAAAGACCAGCCCCCAGGCGAAGAAGACCTTCTCACACAGGTTGAGAAAACCCCTACCCCTACCCCCATTCTACACAGTGGCACCGTAGCCCTGTGAGAACAACCACGACCTCTGAGCCGGACCTTAGACCTGTGCTTTGGCATGGGGACATATGAGGGGATTTTTTATCCCCAACCTGAAATTTGTTTCCACAAGGAGTCGAACCCAGACCTGAGTGCTACTAGAACCACCCAACCAGCTCAACTAGAGGCTCGCTCATTGGCTCAGATTATGAAGACTTCAGAACATGCCTTTTCCTTGTTTGCCTACCAATGCCAGCCATCCAACATTTGAAAATCATACTCTATCAGATTAATAATGGTCATCTCTACCATAGCTATTTAGTCCCTGCAAAACTGGCACTACTACTGGTATGCACTCTGTAGTACTAACACTATCTGTGCATACAGAGAATCACATTCAAAACCATAACAAAACAAGTGCTCATGGTTCGCTTTACCAACTGATGATGCATGAGAACATTTTAAAATTAGCTTTTAACAAAAAAAAAACGCTTTCCTTCCAAGAAAAGATCTTACTTTTCTTCAGCAACATTGTCAACATAGAATATAAGCACCATTCCAAACAAAACAGTACTCAAGTATGCCCAACTTGGTAGTTGAAATTTAACTATGCTGTCAGATGCCGAGCCCTGCAATCAAGAAAACAAAAAATCATTATACTACTATATCAAGGAAAGACCTGCAAATCCTCCCAACCCCAGAAATAATTGGAGCATAAAGAGAGAGTACTCACTAGGATTGTATCCCACATGGCAAACGGAAAAAGAAAACAAGTAGCAGAAGCAATAGTTATAGCATGGAGCCGCCTTTTAAGTTGATTCTGTAGAATAAAACAATGGTGACTGTCAATTCCTATATAGAAAATGATGGTGCGTTGATAGTGTCTTGAAGGAGTTTTTTGACAGAGAATACCACAGAAGCTACCTTGAGAGAAACACGCCGAGCTAATACTCTCCTCAAAGAAGATAAGATCCCAGCGGTAATTGGCACCACCATTTCTTTCACTCCAATATTTTGTCTTGCCTTCTCCACTGGTTCACTTCCGAAGCTATCTGTATGAAGTTAAGGTCTTCCAAAACGGATTTAGATGAGTCCATTACAAATTAATTTATAGGTAGAGATACTTTAACTGCCAAAAATGCAGAGTTATTCACAATAACTCAGTAAATCATTTCAGGAAGACATCTATCTAGTAGGATACATAAAGGAGAATGTGTTCTTGTAGACCATCCATTTGACAAGAGATAATATGCTACCAGCATAGCAGCAAGTCCACCAATCTAAAAATTCAGGGGAAACAGTTAATATCATCTCCTAGAAAATTAGCAATTTCTACTTCAAAATACTAGAGTTTGTTGAAAGTCTGCTGAACATGGTAGAACACATTGAAGAGTTGACATGCAGAAGGATCATCATATAGAAGAATTCCTTAATTATTTGTCCAGCTATCATAGTTGCTGAATGTATAAATTTTCTCAAAAACATGCACACGTGGTGCAAGGGCAACATGTGCACAGTTATTTTGTGCTTAAAGCTCATCAAATCAATAACAGTTCTAAACCACGTTAGACTTTTAAGGATGAGGGGCTCATAACTTCCAAGCAAAATGGACTGCTGACAACAACATTCCTTGTACAGTTATTGGCCAAATATCTTTACAAGTGCATATGCACACGATATTTACTAAAAGAAAAAGCATTGGTACATATCAAATGAACTAAAAAAAACAGTGATTAGACAATACTTAAGGTTAGAGTGCCACGTGCGAGCAATAATTCCTTATGCTTGTTGCCTAAATAAGTAAATGTCATAGAACAAAAGTTCAAAAAAGTATCATAGAACACACATATAACAAGGAACCAAATCATCATATAAAACAAATTCTATTTAAAATCAGCAACTTGCCTTTTTCCAGATGTTAACTTTCCTTCCATATAAAGCAGCAGAGAGAACTCCAAGAACAGCACCTGCATACTCTGCCAGTAGAGCACTAGACTCAATAGACAGAGTAAAATGCAATTTAGATGGAAGTGCCAGTAAATGCTTCTTTAGTAACACAGTTAGGATGCTCAAAGAAGTGCAAAAATATGCAGATGATGTGGTTAATTATAATAGAAATGCTGTTCTGCAATTTAAGTGGTCAAAATCAGATTGCGCACCCCTAGGAGAGTAAGTCCCCAAAAAAATGCAGTCATGCAAGTACTCAAGTCACAATGACTATCATGTGTTAGGTCAACAGGTAAGGACGCCAGAGAAATGTCCTACGGTTGACGTCCATCAAGTGTAATTTGTTACCATAATGATCTGATGACCACTGGCTTGCAGCATGGTTTAAACATTGCACATAGGTGGAGATTGAACTAGATATTCCCTGGCATAAATGCACCGCACCACAGACCATGCAGCTATGTGAAAATTCATGGTGCTGAGAGAACAGGATACTTACACTAGTGGTCCACAAGCAAGAAGTCCTTTACCCCATAACACAAAAGTAGAATGCCAGGATTCCTCCATTGACAACTGTAGGAACAACCTAAAAGAATGAATATAAGAAAGTGCACATCTAATAGCTGGTGAAGTAATCTCAAGAAAAAGATGGTATAATGAAACCTGTGAGTTGGGCAAAGGCCGGCCTTTCCAAGGCTTCTGTAGGACCAAGAATATGATTGAAGTGGGTACAAGACAACTGAAGATAAAGCCAACTATTGAATCTCCACCGTTGGATAGGTGGCTATACAAGGAGTAAACAGACCAAATTCTCATAAAGTTTCCCAAAATATGAATTACTTGCAATGGTGTTGACCTGCAAAAGGCAAAACACAGCAGTTTTGTCAACAAAAAGTAGCCAGCAAACTGATTGGTACATATATTTGGAAAGACAAGCTAGAAAAAGGTTTGACGTGAATATGATAGTAAGGGAAATAAATATACAAATGAAAGGTAGAAAGAGTACAAATCAAGCAGATGCACATCTTGCTCAAGCTCACATTTCTCACATTGCTCTCACATCAAAAGGGCTAGAAATTATGGCCACGAATATTACCATTTAACAGCATAAAACTAGTGCACATTTTGGGAGTCAAAAGTCAATACTTAGTGTAGGACATGGACAACCACTGGATACCTGATATTGATACCAACAATCAGAAATTTAGATCAATTTGTGATGGCCACGGAATAAGTTAGTAGACAGTTGGAGCAAATGCTAACTTGTAACTTGCAAGTACCATATTGCCAGATCACCTAGAATCAGGAGCGGACCAATAAAGGACATGGATCGATAAAAAAAATCGAATGTATACACTTCTGATTAGATCAGATCCAGATACAAATAGCGCAAGTTAGGGTTCGGGTGCTCAATTTTGCACAGCAAGAAGGGAAGAGAAGGGGCGGGCATGCCTGGTGTGGTGGGTTCCCGTCGCCGGCGAAGGGCCCGACGAAGACATGGGTTCTCGTCGGCGGTCGCCCTAATTGTCGCGCACGCGAAGGTGAACAGGAGAAGAAAAACAGCAAACAGGTGTGAAGTGTGAACAAAGGAGAGCAGTTCTTCCTGTGCTGTTTACAGCTTGCTTCTCCGCGCGCGTTACTGGACCGATTTCTCTCTCTCTCTCTCTCTCTTTTCTTCAGGTGCACGCGAATGTGTAGGCTCGTTCACCAGAGAAAGCGGCCCAATGCTCATGCCATGGTTGTTCTTTTTTTTTTCTCTGTTTTTATTTTGCTACCAACTGTTTTCATCATTATCATAAATTGTCACTAATAATTATCTCTATTTTTTCAGATTCACCCGTGAAGATTTTCTCTTTTATATCACTAGCCTAGGGTAAAATCTGTTATTGGTCTATTTAAATTTTTGTTCCGATTCATTTTATAATATTTTTATTCTGCATAAATATACCATAAGTATTTTTGTCCCAGTCTGTAGCATTTTTCTGGTGATGTTGAAATGTTTTCCTCATGACGTTGGAACAAACTTTCTCTGTATGCTACAACAAATTTCTCCTAAACATGAAACATCTTGGTAATGAAATTGGAAAATTACATTTTGGTAATGAAACTGGAAAATTTTCTTACGAAGCTAGAAGATTTTCTTTACAAAGTTAGAACATGTTTTTATATGTTTCTTCTTAAGTTGGAACATTTTGTTTTTAAGGTTGTGAGTAAAGCTCATTACGCACAACATGTGTCATAAAAGTACTTAAAACAATTTTAAGATTATAACTACATGCTATGTCTTTCTTTACGTTTTTTAATCCCCGGCTTCTTATCTCGATCAAGTTTCAACTTCCCACAGACCCGTCGTAACCTCTGACTGATTAAGGGTCATGCTCTAATTAAATGGGGGTGATTAACAAAGTCAGCTCAACGTTTCATCACTACTTGTTTCAAGAAATTAACTTTGGACATCGAGACCTCACTAAGGGTATACACTGTAGCCCACTGAGCATCTTGAAAAATTGCATGCAATGTATCAAGGTGCTTGAGAGAAAAATAACATAACAAAAACAGTCAACTAGGGTTTGACTTGATCCGCCATGTTGACCAGTCAACTAGGGTTTGACTTGTCCCATAGGACAGTCCGGTAGGCAGGGCTGGATGGATTGAGGGAACACTGAAAACTCTGATTTCCTCAATTGAAGTGTAGGATTGTGTATTGGTGATGACCATTCCTTAAGGGAAGTAGATTAATAGTAGGTGAGACTTAGGATTTAGGATTCCGTTTCAGGCTTACTCCCGAGCTTTTGATCAAGGTGAGTCGATGGGAATGACTTTGAGTTGACTAGAGTTGTGCTTAGAGAGTTCTTTGCTAGGGTTAGAGTTGAGAGATGTGTAGAGGATTTTAGAAGACGAATACTTTGGTTGCATTTTGCTCAACACGAGCCGAGAGGAGACACACCATATTGACGAGGCTCACTACTGCAATAAAGGGTGGGGAGGGGGTGATCTTGTGACATGGATGAGTCGAGAACCGATGTTGGGAGATGCTTCCAGAGATTAGCTAGGATCATTTTGAGGAAAAAGGAGGTGATGGTCAAGGGTTGGGGTTTCTAAGGGGTATTGCGAAATAAATTTAGAATGACCGGCGAGCCCTGACAATTTGCATTGGGAACCATGTCCTTGCTCTTATTCTTCCCCACTCATTTCTACCTTCAAATTGACTGATTCACATTGACCGATTGATACGCACACTTATATGTGATTAGATCGATTTTTCTAAGTGCGAAAAGAATGGGAGTTGATATAAGAAGTTGTTGGAGAGCATTTTTTAATCTTGTCAAAAAATCAAAATTGAGAGTGAGTTTCGGAAATTCTTGGAGATGGCTCGTTCAAGGCACTAAGGACCTTTCAAAAGCAACAAAAAAACACTCTCCGAAGCTGTTTGGCTGTTGGAAGTACAAGAGATCGGCTAGAATACTGTCGAAGTCTTGTTTTTTTCCCTATAAAAATGCTTTTAAATTGAATTAATGAGTTTTTAGAGATGCTCTCAGCAAATCAAGATGCACCTTCCAAACGTTGTTGTATTGCTCTCTTGGCTCAACTACAAGCGATTGAGATTTTGTTTATACAATTAAACAAGTGAAATTTTACTTTATCATCAAACGCTGATATCACTATATCAAGCATACCCGACCCCTTGGTTAAAGTGTACGTATCTACTCCGTATTTGTTTCCACGAAGGTTCATTAGGACCGGACTCCATATCAGTTATCAACAATTGACGTCTTGGATTATTTTTCTCATTTTCTGTAACCCTGGATTAACCCTATGAAACGTTTTACAGCCGTTTTCCCAAAACAATTTCTGCAGCCTTGCATGTTCATCATTGTAGAGCTTCATCCATGGCAACATTTACCACATTAACCGAAATTTGCAATTTCAAAATTAAAAACCAGATTTGATTCATCAAATAAGCAATCATCAGCAAGGGAACCCAGACCACACACCAGAGCAATGTTACACCTCAGCGCCAGGATCAAATGAAAAGTCGAAAATTCAACGACTAAAATTGCTTCATATATTAAACCATGTACAGTGCGGGAAGCCTAAGGCCCCGTTCGCTTCGTTGAAAAAACAAGCCGAAACACTGTTTCGGCTGATTTGTTGTGAGAGAAAAACATTGTTCCGGCTAAAAAAAACAAGCTGAAAAAGACGGATTATAAGATAAGCGAACAGGGCCTTAACAATCCTACAAGCCTAGTAATCAAACTGAAGAAGCTAACCTCTTCCCCAACCACACTCCAATACATAATCACAGCAAATTCCACCTCAACTTCCTCTAATCCGTCGAAAACAGAACACTTCCTCTAATCCACCGAAAACAGAACACTTATGAAACAGACGTGTTAGTCTGGAAACACCCGTCCATCGCTAGCTCCGCCAAAGCAACAATCACCTCTGCAAAAACACAAAAATTGCACCTTAAGGGCCAAACCAAAGAAAACAACTTTCAAAACACCAACAAATTGAGAAACCTCTTTACCTCTTCAATCTTGTAGGAGCCGGGCGCCACATCTACTAGGCACAATCCCGGGTACAGCAACTGCAATCCAAGAAAACCAAAACAAAAAAATCTCATGAAACACCGAATTTGGAGGGGTACCGAGCGAGGTTCCGGCCTCAGGGGACCAGCCTTTTTGTTCAGTGGTTCCTCTACAGGTTTTGATGGGCCTGTTTGGCGTGGAGAGCAGGGGTGGCTCGGCCCGTTAGCCACGCCCAGGCCAGCCACAGCCAGATCCAGAGAGCATAGGTGCTCGTGTTTGATTCCACGCATCAGTACAGTCCGGCCCTAGCAGGCCTTTGTTTGATTTATCTCTGGGTGCTAGGCCCACGACCAACTAACTCCAACTACCAATTGGAGATTATGTTTGATATAGTCCTAGCTCACCATGTCCCAGGAAGCAACATGAGAATGCATAAGTGATTTGTAAATGAACCACAACATACCTTTATGAAAACAAAAATATAAAAGACAGTTACAACAATATGAACTACATAATAATGACAATCAAGTGGCCTCAGACTAAATATAATTAATGGTTCATATAATCCTAGTTGCCTTGCCTCATGTAAACAAAAAACAAGGCAATAGACCAGCAACAAGGGTCCAGTAGCATATATCATCGACATGGAGAACATCCAACAATCAGATAGGCCATCAACATGGTAACAAGGTAACCAACATTGACAGAAATGGATTAGACAAAAAAACTGAGGCAATTAATCCATCATCTTTTCTTAATTATCATAGGCCTAAGTATGGCACTTGCACTGTCCAGTCATGCTCACCCTTATCCATAGTCGAATCACCACAATAAGCAGTGAGATGATTACCACATTTTTCCAATAGCAAGACTTACCATCAACATGAGGAATACCTTGACAACAGTCATCAGGGAGCAGCTGAGAGGGGAGGGGAGTTGCTGCTCCCCGAGATGCATTGAAGTCTCTTAATTTTTGTACTTCAAATACCTTGCATTCTTGAACCCAAGAACTTATGCTCTAGATTTGGTGCTGCAATTCATATAAGTACTCATC